AAAAATTTTTTTCCACTATATAAGATCTTATTCAGTATTGTTGGACAATGGATACTATGTACTATTTACCAATCCAAGCAGAGTTAGATCGCCGAAATAGCAGCGCTGTAACCCGGGGCTGATAAAAACTGGTCCAATTCAGGTAACGTACACTCGAGAGTGGGTCGTGAGCCTTGGTTATAGAGGATGCCTCACAGTCGTTTAGTTACATACCCAGATATTCCCCGTAAATGTTTGCCTCCGTAGACCTATGTATCCATGTATATATGTGTGTATGTATATAGGTATGTATGTAAATATATACAAAACAGCTGAGTTGGAATGTAATCAAATGTCACCGAGACAGTGAAAAAATAGGTCAAACTTTGGTTATGCTTTCCGCACAACAACGGAACCAACAACCACAGCAACAACAAATGAATAACACGCTTACAATGGCTTAAAGATGACGCAAAGATTGAGTTAACACCGAGTGTTAAGAACATTGTTAAGCCAAACAAAGCAAAAACAATAGCAAAATAATAGTAATATAAAGCTATGCAAAACTCAAGCTGCACAAAGAAAAAAGTGGAACTTTTTGCGTAAACAACAACAACAGCAACAACACAAATAACGGCAAATGGCTATTGGGTTGCTAGCGGCAAAGTCTGTCAGCTTGATCAGCAACAACAATAACACATGATTAACATCAGTAAAACTGCTGTGATTTCAAACAAACAAATGAGAGCATGTGTGTGTACACACACATATACATACACATTTAGAACTGTAGTAAAGCATGTTTGTTTGTGGCGCAAATCTAATATCCAAACCACTTGACTGCGTTCAAAGTGAACGGAAGCTCTTAATCCGCAGCGACGCGCGCGAAATTATCAAGCTATTAAATACATACATACATACACACACATATGGCACACACTTGCTGCAGAATATGTAAAGAAATCATTGCTTTTACTCAATTACAATTTAATTGCGCTGAATGGGAGGAATGTGGGTCAGCGCATTCTTAGCAGCCCGTTGGCAAAGGAAATGAATAGAAAATTTGTTCAGCTCGCGCTGGTAACTAATAAAAGCCGCGCAGATATTAAAAAATTAATACCCATAATTGTTAAAATTAAGGTGCGTTTTAACTTTCAACTAAAAAATTTACTATAAACTCGAATATCCATACATATTTTAATTAACTACTTTGACAATTTGTAAAAAAATTAAGTTTGCTATAAAATTATAGCAACATTTTATAGTAACATAATATGAGTAAAAACAAATTTCTTACGTATCAGTTACTTTCAAATGTATTTTTAAATATAAAATTCGCTATATTAAGTTGCTATTAAAATTATGGCAACACAAATTTATACACATAGCAGCGCAGAAGCACTAAATGATTATAAATTAAAAAGACTTATGCATAAGAGACGAATTGTGTTTGTGTATCATGAAGAATTTAATATCAACAGTAATTAAAATTTGTTTAAATATATGTGTGTATTAGGGCGGAACGAAAAAAAACATTTTTTTATGCTTAGCCTGAGGGTCAAATTTGTAGATTATAATAAATGAAAATTTTTGGGAGAAAAAAATTTAACATGTAGAGGCCCACTCACTTTTAAAGTAAATTTCGAGTTAAAATTTTTATTTCGTAAAAATAAATGTGTAAGTGTTCTAGATGCTGTGGAGTCTCCTCTTTCGGGCCAATTAAAATTTATCAACTTTAAAAATATGTTTGTGGTCATTATTGGAGTTATAAAATAAGTCTAAACGACAACATGATTTCCTTAAGCGTATAAATAAATTTTGAGTCGAAAATTCGGTAATTTTTATATAAATGTAAAGAGTTTAACCCAAAAAAAATTTTTTTGTCCTCTAGATGTTATGTTTTTTTCACAAAGTTTTGTATAAATTTAAAAATTCATAAATCTATAAAAATGAAGTTATAGGTATGCCACTTTGCCGGATTGAAATATATAAAACTTGTATAAACATAATTGGAATAATGTTATACGACACCAAAGCATTTATTAAAATACTTTTTTGGTTATAAAATTTTTTAATTTAATTTGCTTTAAAAATTATAGCAACTTAGTTATTGCAAAAACTCCTGCAAAATCAATTGCCGAGCTGATATAAGTTCTAAAGTGGCTTTGAATGTGTGCTATAAATGTTGCTATTAAAATTATAGAAACAATTTTTTAAGGAAATATGACTAATTCTTCGGCGAAACTGTATTTACTAAAGTCCTTATCATCAACAGTATACAATTTTAAATTAAAATTCGCTTTCGAAAGTAATTTGTTAAATTTTTCGCAATTGACAGAAAATTGTGTTAATTATTGCACAATACATACTTTAAAGGTAGTTGAAGTACCTTTCGCTTGTTGCCTGATAACAAATTGATTAAGTACACTGGCACATACCAACTTATATACATACATTTATGCGGGCGTACAACAACAAGCAGTAGTTTGTACATAATTTTTCCATTGTTTTTGTAAATTTATTTATCACATGGCCGGCACACTTTTCGTTGCGGTCGACTGCGGCGCGTTTAACTAGAGTAGGTGTGAATGAATGGATATTTTATATACATATGTATATACATGCATATATGTACATACAACGGTACGTGTGTATTGGAATACAAACAAATGGTGTTTGAAAACTATTCAGAAAGTTATAACCAGTTTTCCACGTTCGCTGACTCTAAATGAGCAGTCAAACTATCTAAGTATGGACATTTTGAAAACACTGTATGTTGAAAAGCTTTCGAAAGCTTATGAGTAGTTAACGCTTTTGTCGACTAGATTTTATTTTTATACCATTCAAACATTTTTCCAGTTTTTATTATATCCATTTAAGAATCTTCTCACAAAACTCAACCTACATAGGTCGCTGTATTAAACTTAAAAGTTCCAAAATGAACTTCACTTCACATAGCAGACACTTACCGAAATATACTTTCACAAGACTACAAAGACTTTAAACATTACCATTTTTGTTTGCTTCAAAACACTTTATCTCCGAGGATACAGACCATAACTTTATAAGCATCACAGAGAGGCTTGGGAACTATTTTGAAAGCTATAGTAAGGTCCCCATGCGGACAGAATATGTGGATAAGTTAAAAACTGCTCGATTATTTTTATAAATTTTAGAATATTAAGGTTTCCAATTTAAAAAAAAAATTTTTTTTCAAAAATATTAATTTTAACAACGTAGTAATTAAGTTTTCGATGAGGATTTAAAAAAAATATGACTTTGAAGCATTAATTTCGAAAAAATATATGATTTTGAAATTTGAAATAAGTATTTTTTTTAGTTTTTGGGTTTTTTAAACAATTTTAGGCATTTTCGAAACACGAACTATGAGTGGAATAAATTAATAGATATTCAAAAATCTATTTTTGTATTTTTTTTTTCTTCGAAAGTTATATCAATTTTTAGAACCCGAAATTTGTGTGAATTTAAGCAGAACTATAAAATAAAAATAAGATTTTAAAGAATATTTTCAAAAGTATATGGTTTTGAAAAGTTAGAGCAATTCATATTTATTGTTTGTTGATTTTTGAAACGATATTGTGAATATTCGAAACCGAAACAATAAGTATAATCTTACATAAAATGTTTAAGATTCTGTGTCAATTAACTAACCTTACATATAAAATTTATAATTACGAAGTGTGCATTTTAGAAAATAAAAAATTTTTTTTTCATCAATAATTCCGAAAATTATAGATTTTAAAGTTTACAAATTAAATTCTTCACATTTTTATAACATTAACAATCATCAAAAATCGCATACGTCGTTAAAAAAGAATGATTTTTCAATATTTATAATTAATAATATTTTTTTAGTAATTATAAATTTCAAATTATGAAAATTTTGATTTTATAATTCTTTTTTTCAAAAAAAAATTTTTTTCTAAATTTAGATTTTCTTTTCAAATGCATTAAAGCTATTATGGTTGGAAAAAATTGAACAAAAAATTTCAATTTGAAAAATTATTTTACAAAATGTGTGAATTTCAAAAATTATTTTTCAAATATTTCTATATACAACAATCGATGGTGGGAAAAAGTAGTAATTATAAATTTTTAAAATTAAAATTCGAAATCTAAAACATTAAAATTTTCATTTCATTTTAAAAATATAATTTTTTTTAACTAAATTTAGAATTTTCTTTCCAACGGCATTAAACCGATTATGGTAAAAAAATTTTATATAATTAGTATTTAAAAATTTATTTCTCACATATTTCAGCATTTGAGAAATTATTTATCGCAAAGTTAACAACACATATTTCAGAATTTGAAAAATTATTTTTCAAACATTTTAGTACTGCAAAAATTATTTTTCATTAATTACTTATTTTAAAAATAATTTTTCATAAATTTTTTATTTTAAAAATAATTTTTCACACATTTTTTACCAATTCTACATACACCGATCAATTATGGCAAACAGTTATAAATTTTTAAATACAAATTTCAAAATCTTTAGAAATATTAAAATTTTAAAATTTTCCAAGCAACAGAACCATATAATGAATACTTTATTGCGTAAGACCTTGTTAATAAATACTCAATATTACACCCATGCATGTATGTATGTACGTATATTTTTATTATATATATTTTTCAAACATTCACATTGCATGCTTATTAAACAAATATTCATTTATAATTTTTATTTTTATGTAAATTTTATTTAATAATATATGTGTATATGTACTTTTTTACTTTTTACAAAGTCATAAGATAGAGTTATCAAAGTAGTGTGATAAAATATTGAATTTTTTTCATATATTTATTGGTGTTTTTTAAGCTTAGTTGACTATTCTTTTGTAATAATTAATTAAAAGAAAACTAAATAATAATTATTGCTAAGAAAATATACAGTTAACAGTTACAGTATTTAGTTTTTAGTGTTCCAGAAAAGCTCTATAGCACTATATAGAAATTTAGACATACATAGTTGCAATTTAGAAATGTTTATTATATTTTTTTTATAGAAACCCGCTTGCCACATATCTTTTGCAATTTCTTCAATATTTCGCTTCACTCTCGCCGCACTTTCAGTCCAAAGTAAGTTTATTTACGGCTACGCATTTTCAAGTTTATCAAGGCACTTTTGGCAAACATTTGCATAACTTTAAATCCGAAAAGTGTTGTGAATTAGGAAATCGTGTTCGAAAGTGATAAAATTTGAGTGCTTTTATCTTTAATTACTTGCTAATGATTATGTTTATATATGTATGTATGTATTGGTATTTGAAATATTTACTACATACATTTTCGAAACAAATTTTTTTTAATATTCTTCATTAATAACTATAATTATTTGGTAGAAAATAATAAATAGTATAGCATGGAAATAAAAAAATATACATAGTGGCAGTACTGTACTATATAAAATATAATTAGGAAAAAAATTGTCTACAGTGATTGTATAACAAAAAAATGTTTCAATAACAAAAAAATTTACTGACTCAATGTAATTTATTTCTTATACTAGAACCTATACATTTTAAATTAATTTACAAGCAAAAACAAAATACTAGCTTTAAACTCACACCTCAAGTAATAGTAAATATGAAAAACAATTAAAACACTTAAATTTAAAAAAAGGTTAACTATAAAAAAAGTTAAATTTAAAAAAAGGTTAAATTTAAAAAAAAAAAATTTTAAAAATTATAAAAAAAGTTTATTAAATTTAAAAAAAAAAATTTAAAAATTATAAAAAAAATTTTAAAAATTATAAAAAAAATTTATTAAATTAAAAAAAAAAAATTTAAAATTATAAAAAAAATTTATTAAATTAAAACAAAAAATTTTTTAAATTATAAAAAAAATTTTATAAACTTATTTAAAAAAAAAATTTTAATATTAAAAAAATTTTTTTTAAAATATATGCTCTATTCATTTATAAGAAATTTATAAAAAGAAATTAAAACAAAAAAAATTAAATCAAAAACATAATAAATAATAATTTTTAATTCAAAAATAATTTAAGAAAATAATTCAAAAAACAAATAGAAAAATATAAAAAGAATAAAACCAAAAAAAAGTAAAAATTTAAAAAATTTTCAGTTAAAATATGTTTGAAAAAACTGTTTAAAAAAATTTTGTTTTAATTAAAAAATAAAGTTGAAATATAATTCAAGAAAAAAAATTTAAAATTTATAATAAATAAAAAAAAATTAAACATTAAAAATAAATAAAAAATAAAAAATATAATTAAAAAAGAAAATTAATATGAAAAAATTAGTTAAATAAATGATTGATATTTATTTTTTCAAAAAAAAAAATTTAATTATAAAAATATATTTTATAAAATATTTAAACAAAAAATTAAAATTAAAAAAAAATTAATTAACAATTATATTTAAAAAATTAGTTTATATGAATAATATATAGTGCTTATATTTTCTTTCATTAATACAATAACTTAGGTTTAAACTAAAATTACAACTTAAAACTAAGGTTTAGGCAGCATGACCATTTCTTAAACTACTATTGCTTGCTACCTCAGACGCCTGCTGTAGAGCGCCGAGTGAAACCGAAGTAGTATTCGTTGTCGGCGCAGCATCAGCGCCATCGGGTTTTGCCGACGCATAACGACAAGCCGCCGTTAGACACTTGCACGACAGATGGCGATTTTTGAAAAGCCAAAATGTGTCACCATAATCGAAACTGTTGGAGAAGTCATTTGAGTTTTGCATTAAAAAAATATAAATATAAATTTTCAAACTTACCACAACTCTTCACCCGCTTGTATGTCGCGACAAGCGAAAAATGCAATTTTCGGAAAACGGTAGTCCTGATGTTCGAAAAACACGCGTACCGACACAATATTCGGTTCACACGAGTGATTATAGAAACGACTGACATTGCCAAAGTAATTTGCATCGATGCAATGACCATTTTCCAAGTCGAAACAATAACTGTCGTCTGTGCGACGATCGGCTTCCGTATTGCTGAGTATTTCGCCGATATACTCGGACACAAAGGAGCCTTTCGCCACTTGCACGAGGGTGCGTACACCCCAACCTTTGGTGGTATCATTGCATTCGAACACTTGTAGTGGTATGCGTATGCCATTTTGAACAACACGATTTCGACAAGAGAGCTGAAAGAGAATAAAATTAATTTATTAACTATTTTTACATTAAATATTCAAAAATTTATTAAAGAGTAAACATATACAAAAAATTTTAAACAAAAATAAAAAAAACTATTAAAAAAAATAAAATAAAAAAAATAACATAAAAAAATAAAATAAAGAATATAACATAAAAAAAATAAAATAAAAAATAAAATAAAACAAAATAAAAAAATAATAAAATAAAATAAAAAATAAAAAAAAATATAAAAAAAAAAAAATTAAAAAAAAACAAAAAAAATTATTAAAAAATTATAAAAAAAAAATATTTAAAAACTTTAAAAAAATTATTTATTCTAACTAAAACAAATGTTCAAATTAAAAAACAATTAAATAAATAAATTGAAATAAAAAAATTTAATTAATAAAATGTAAAAAAAAATTATAATCAAAAAATTAAAATCAAATAAAATAATATTTTCCGAATAAAACAGAACAAAAATATTAAAACAATTTTATTATTTTAAAAATTGTAAACAAGCATATAAATTAAAAAGTTATAAATAAAATAATATATTAAATAGTTATAATAGTTAAAAGATTACTCGTTTCAAAATTATTCTTACAGTTTTAATATAAATATTTATCCCGATCCCCTGCAAACTCACCTTATTACAACCGCACACATCATTGCATTCGAATATGGGCACTGGATCTTCGAAATTGAAATCGCCACTCAAACGGCCCTCAGCAGTATACCAATTTTGACCAGATGCCTCGCCGCATTGGCACTGTGAGGAAATGCAGCTACAAATATTTAAAAAAAAAAAATAAAAAATATATATATACATATATTTATTTTATATATAATTTTTTTTTACACCACTCACCCATCCATACACGAGCAGATGCGCATTTGCGCCACCCGATAATCGATTGGCGTACAATTTTGCAAAATTATCGACTTTTTGATATACTTCAGATCGGGCAACATAATCTCATCGGACTCGTCATGCGCTATAGCGGTCGTTGAAGCGCCCGCCGACAACAGTAGCTCACTGCCGCCATTCTGCTCAGCGGCATTCGCACTGCAGCACAATTTCTGCTCATTACGCACCACTTGTATCGGACGCGCCTCTCGCCCATTCGATATATCATCGCAGATAATGCGACTGCGCAGACCCAAGGGACGGAATGAACGCATTTGCATGTTGAAACCAACAGTACGTGCACATTCCGAGTCTTCGTGTGGTATACAATCATAGGGTAATTCGTCGGCTTTATTCTTGACCATCAAATCGGCGCCGTTAGCGATGAGCGCAATGCAAAGGCGGGTGATGGAGTGACGGCAGGCGATGTGACTGCACAAAAAATAGTGTGGAGAGAGAGCGAGAAAAGAAAAGTAGAGTTAGTTTTTGTTATTTGATTCCGAAGAAGCATACTTACAGCGGCGTATCGCCCTCCACATTTTGTACATTGCAATCGGTGCCGGCTTGTAGCAGCATTGTGATCGTCTCCAAGCCATTACTATGTAGTGTGGCCCAATGTAGCACAGTATTATTGTCATTGTCGCAAATATTCGGATCGGCACCGTGATTGAGTAGCAAACTGTAAAGAGAGAAATGACAGAAATCAAAGAATTACTATAGCTTCTTCTTCTTGTTGACGTTATAATAGCAATTACGATGCTGTTGTATAAATCCTTTGACAATTCCGTTATGTTGTTGTTGTAGCTGTAAAAAAAACATCTCTGAAGTAATTTGGAAGAATACTCTCCAGTTGACAGTCTTTGGCCGGATAAAAATCCAGATTCGTTCCGGTTACGTAGACCCGCTTGACATAAAAAACGTTATATAAAGCCACTCACCTCACAATTTCCGTATGTCCCAACTCAGCTGCCCACACCATAGCGGTCCAGCCACCATCATCTTGTGTATTTATGAAGTCCATAAAGTTCAATATGCTGCGACATGAACGATAACTATCGATTATTAATTGCGCCGCTTCCAGATTACCCAGTTTGGCGGCAATGTGCAAACAGGTTTTGCCATCAAGACCCTTAGATGACATACAATGCAAAAAAAAAAAGAGCGAGAGAGAAAGAGAGAGAGAGGATAATTTTATTTTTATCTTTAAAATTTTTGCCACATACCTTTATTGCCAAATCGGCGCCGCATTGTATGAACAAATTCAGTATATCACACTTGTCACCCAATACCGCACACATCGACGCGGTGCGCAGCTCACGGTCCAACATATTTATAAACTCCTTGGCATAACCCTTGCAAAGTAACAGAAAAGCCATCGGCAATGTGCCGGAAAGCGCCACCAAATGCAAGCAGGTGCCATTGAGAAATTCGCGCATGCGCGTTTTCACATCAAAATCAGAGGCTGTAAAATATGCCAAAAGAAAAAACAATATATATATTTTTTTGCGTTTATTTTTAATATCACAGCACGCACCGAGTATTTCAGCGACGCGCTCGAGATCATCATTCTTCACCGCATAGTACATGTCGCGCGTGGAGAATTCCGACATAGAGCTGCGTGTGCTGCTGGCGCCACGACGCGCATCGCGGTTGCTTGGCGCACGACCGCGCAGCACCACATTCATAACGGATTCGGGTATCAGTTGCTCGAAATTGATTTGATGTGTACGCAACGTACGTAGCGGCACAGTGTTGCTGGCGGCACTGCCAACAGCAGCAAGAGACGGTGACGCGCCGACGCCAGCGTTTACGCATGCAGTGCTGTTTACTGTCACAGCATTGGAATGGCCATTTGGTTGCGGTGTGCCGCTCAAAATAGGCAACGGTAATTTCGCAGCTTTGCTGTAAGCAAGAAAAAATAACGGTTATTTCGCATATACAATATCTTTGGAGTGATGCCACAATTTGTATTTACATACATCTTTGGCGCTCTTTGACTAGGCAAGAATACAGGCAATGTTTGGCATTTCATCGTGACGATGGAGGTACGTTCTGGTGTGTCGATGCCGCAGTGCGGACACTTCAGCACTAATGTGGGACTAGTGTAGTTACTGGCCGTTTGTTGCGCATCTATAGGGCTGCTCAGTATGAATTTCTCGGCACAATCGGCGTGGAAAAAGTGTTGACGCTTACAAAGCACAAATTTACCCTACAGGTAGATGTAAAAGAAGAAAAAGTTTAGAAAGCATAGGCAAAACATATTCTATTCAACACGCACCTGCGTACAAAATATGCCACAACCGGCGCAGCAATTGTGCGTACGCAGCCGCTTCTTGTGGTCTTCGCACAGCACCATATAGCTAACGCGCTGACTGGGGCGCAGCAGATTGAACACTTCACCGCTCAATTGATTGCTGCAGCCCACTTTCTGTTCCTCGATATTGTCAATGGCCCAACAGTAGGCCGTATCGGGCGTGTTGCGTGTGTAGAATTGTGTTTTCTTCTCGCAGTAGCAAATTAAATTGCGTTGCTGCGCAGTTCTAGCAGGTGGCGTTGGTGACGGTATGGTTACCACAGTGCCAATTGCGTTTAACGCGCTGACTGTGGCAGCTGCCAAGCCCACTGAGCGGCTGCTAGGCGATTGTAGCTCTTGTGATGATTCATTTATTTCGATGACTTCAAGTGAGGGCGCTTTCAGTAATTTCTTTTTGCACACGCTTATGTTTGCAGTTTGCTTAGTGGTCGCTGCTGTTGCTGGCTTCTCAACGGCGTTACGTTGGCGCGCTTGCGGCTTACGACCCGCTTTTGCGCTTGTCGGCGAAGCGGTGGCAGCGCGCACTGGTATTGACGGCACAGGCGCGGGTGTTGGTGTTGGTGTGCTCTCCTTAATGGTGGAGCGTTGTCGCAGGGTATGGCTGCGTCGCTCCACCTGTACGCGCGTAGTCGGCACGAACTCCTCATTGTCGCTTAGGCTCTCTATATCGCTGGCCTCTTCGCTGGTATTACGGCGCAGTCCGAGCTTGCGCAAATTATTTTCCTTTTGTTTTGCCAGCTTGCGCTGCTGCTTCTTGGTGAGTTTGCGCTCCTCTAACAAGCGATTTGTATGCCATTTCGCCGCTTTGATTTCGCACAAGAACTTATCTACGTCTACACGTGGACGCGCGAGCTGCGCTTGCTCTTCGGCCAGCAATGCGGCGCGCGATGCTTCAATGTCGCGCAATAATTTACCGCACATTTTTTTCTTGACAGAGTTGGAACCATGCGTGGTAGCCTTTTCTTCAACGGTATCTGCGCGTTCAGGCTTCTCCGTCTTCACTTGCTTGTTAGCCGTATGCGCTTTGTCCGTTTCTAGCGCAGCGTTTGACTCGACGTTTTGACCGCCACTACCACCGCTGTCCTCCCAGTTCTGCGCTTGCGTCAAACGCACTATATTATTCGTTTCGAATTCATAGCGCAGCTGGCTGTTCTCAAGTATTTTTGTCGTGGGCTTAATACGTCGCTGTGATCGCTTCGGTATGACAACATCCGCGTTGTGACTACTGCGTTTTGTTGCTGAGCCGGGCGGCGTGTGATCGCTACACTCGCTATTCGCGCCACTTGCGCCAGATTGTGATTTTTCTAACTGTTGTTGCTGCTGCAGTTGTTGTTGCTGCAGGTGATGTAGTTTTGACTTGCGTCCGCGTTTTTTTGGTGGCGTGCGCTCTTCCACCGCAGGTATGGGCGACTTTCCAACACTTCCTGGTGCTTCCGTCAAGCTTAGCGGATCAACTAGTGTCAGTTGTGGATTTGCCACACAAGTCGTTGGTTCGATTTTGATTTCTTCAAGCGGTGGACCATCCTAAAAGTAACGGTATACATATTAATTTATCAAACGCACTGCAAAATATATTCAAACTTACCAACTGTTTGCTATTGCCGCTAGGCGTCGCGCTGCTATCGTTGCGATTACCCAGCCGCACGCTGCGGCGCATGCGCTTACCGCCATCCCCGCTATTTGCTGCGACGCCGGTGCCAGGACTCACTGAAACGTCCTTAGCACTTACAGTAGTATCGTCCTGCTCTATTTTAACGGCTGGCAACGTCATTAGCGTTGTACCTTCCATGTCATCCGGTTGTTTGCGCTTGCGCCCAACTGTTTTGCGTTCTTGCGGCGCGACGCTTGTCGTTGCTAATGTAGTAGTGTCCGTCGATGCACCCAATTGCTGTTTATCCTCCTCCCTACCCGGCAAGTCAACACTTTGCTCAAAACCCTCCATCGTCACAGTAATTTTTCTGCCACGTCCACGACCACGCTTCACCGGCTGCAGCTGTTGGGTTTGTGCTGCAGCTGCCGCTGTTTCAAGCGCGCCAGCTGCTATAGTAGTTGTAGCTGGTGGCGTACCAGCAGCGTCAGTTGTTGTGGTAGGAAGATTAAAGTTTTGAACCGGCTCTAGCTTTGTTGTTGGCTGCGCTTCGTCAACGTTTGCTGCAATTTCCGGATTTTCCACTTTGGTCACCGCCTTTGTCGTCTCAGCAGGTAGAGAATCAGGCGTATTAGTAACCTCGGACAATCGACGCGTGCGGCGTAAACGACGTAGTGGACTAACACTGGCGGCACGCGCATTTGTAGCCTGTGAATGACAAGATACCAGAGTTTAAAGATTTACCCACCTGGAAAAATATTAACTCTCAAGGGTGCAATCCCAAAAAATAGTAGCGGCTTAACCTTATATCGGTTAAGAACACTGTGGTGCTACGACTATCGAACCGATAAACTTTGAATAGGCTCTAGGAAATTCTCGTTGGGGTTTCGAACCCAGAAACCAGATTAGTTTGCTATGATATAAGATCATGACTTAAAAAATGGTTACTGTAGGAAAAAAACTAACCTGAACCGAGATTCGTGATCTCTTATTTCTATAAGAAAAGGCTATTCTCTAATACCACAGTTCACGAGGCCTGCAATTTCCATTCCCTAGACAGTCGGGTCTACGTAACCGAAACGGACCCGGACTTTTAGCCGACCAAGGAGCTGACAACTCGACAGCATTTCTCAAAATTACTTCTGAAATGTTTTCTGCCGCTACAACAACAACAAGACCTTTACTTTGTAATCAATAATAAGCTCGAATAGGAAGAAACCGTGAACAAATCTCGTTGTGAAGGTATCGACGGTGTTAAGCTCTAATATTCAGCTTTTTTCTAAACTTATTGTTTTTATCTATGAAGATGTCATGTATGACGTATGGCTATATGAACGACGTAAGATTTGCACATAAGTCTAACTATGAAAACTTCGAAAAATTCTAGAGAGTCTGAATTGGGCTCCCCACTTCGGACTCTTTCATCTTTGTCTCATTAGTACCTCATAGTGAGAGATGAGCACCTCAAGCACTACATAATAAGATACAAACAACTGCTAAAGCTTAGACAAACGAAGAGCACTGAAGCGATTTAGGCATCTCTCAAGAGTTTCCAAGTCCATTCGATCTCTACCACAAAATCTGAAGCATCCATGCACTCAAACTCATGCAGCTATGCAAAGCACCAGTCATTCAAAACTTTACATTACCATTCTCCGACCTGACTCAAACACGAAACTTGGACACACCAAATAGGCATATACCACAAAAATGGTATGAAAAAAGCAAAAAACAAAATTCCATCCACTCAAGTAAACACAAAAATGATATCATTAGTGGCGTTATGCACGTGTTTTGGAACTGAAAGCTCTCGCTGCCTTGAATCGATATGTGCATATACACTTGTGTTCAATTAGTGCTGGCAATCCCGAAAGACGTGGGATAACTGAATTTTAGGAGAGCGCGGGTTTAAGTTATAGTAAAGAACTTATTGCCCTAAAATATAGAAAAAACTCTCCAAATAGCTGTTCCGAACGGTTGTGAACAGATTGAACCTTCAACTTGTTAGATAACATGGCCAAATATTTAGAAGCTTCATAGGGGTCAATTAGGATCAATTAGAGAGAAAAGTAAAAGCGTTACGATTGCCTGTTGCGGTGGAATTTTGTTTATAACTGAGTGAGAACGTTTAATAAACGTAAGAAATACAAAAAAAATTGGAACAACGTTGACGCTAGCTTTCGGAAAGCTTTTCACTGTGGCAAAAAGCTTAAATGTACAGCTCTGTGAACTAATAATAGCAGAGTTGACTCTTAAACACTTGTAAATTTTAAACTCGTCTATAAACTGAATTTTGGTTTAAGTACTGGGTGATTCGAATATTTATTTTTTTAAATAAATATTTGAAATTCGCTGTTCTGCATATTTTTTTTTTATTTATTTACACAGAAATATATAAATCCGATTCGTAAAATATATTTCGGGATTCGGTAAAAATCGGGATTCGATAAAATTCGGGACTTTTACTTATACATTTTTTCCCGTTATTTATTCATGCTAATCAGAAAATTTAAATTCGATCCCGAACAATATATTTCGGTACTAAATCAATTTTCGGGATTTCGATTTTAGCTGACACTAACAAATCTAAGAGATAAGCATATACAAATAAAAATATGTACATATATACATACATATTTATATTTAGTATGAACGAATCGATTGCTAGTGGACAGCGAAAACTAAACATTTGCTAGCTTTCACGTAGCAGACGGCAGTGGCATCAAGTGAGGGAATTCCCTGAACTTTAAGCAAATGCCACATATTTAGTCAACTCAATTTTCCTATATGCAGACTAGGATATATACCGTTATTTCTTGTCAATTTTATTTTTCAGAACAATGAGTGACAAAATGATTTACAAATAAGAGGAAAAGCTTCAAAAAGCTCAAGCACAAATATGCTTGAGGGCAAAGTGCAGACAAAACTATGTAAAATAACGCTTTATTAACTAAAAGGTGATAATGATTTGCTTATTTTTAAGTATTTAATAAACGCCAAGCAGAAATAGTAAAAGCTAAGAGAGCTTGCGAGAGCGCCAAAATTGGAGTGGGCATACGTATATACGAAAGTTGTATGTAAATTTGTATATGCACTTTTATGTTAATTCTCTTAAATTTCAAACGTTTTTTCTAGCGAAATAGAAAGAAGTTGGTAACAACAAGCGCAAGGAAAAGCAAATATTTTTTGTAAAAGCACGAAATAAATTATAGTAATGTAGCCGAACTAAAAGTAGAGTAAATGTGATCGTAATTGGGTAGATGAGTCTTGCTTCAACCGAAGTACACACGTACGAGTATACATACATATATAAGTGAATTATTGGGAGAAAAAGCGAAGCACGAATAAAACAAATGTTTGACACCGAAGGCAAGGAAGAGACTGGAACACTTTTCGGGTTTATATTGAGCACTCTCAATCAGCGCGAACGAGTTGCCTAGAAATCTCTTTCGTTTCATTCCGGTTAAATAGGATCGCAATACATAGGAACTGCTCCAATGACATCGTCCTTAACCAATAATGGACCGTAAGTTTTCAACTTTCATGTGATATAATTTTAATCCCAAGAAGCTAGAGGTTGTTGTTGTAACGGTTATCAAATCCCCGTTTGGGTGGCAAGGCTCAAGTTGCTTGTCAGCGAAACTATCTAATGAGGCCCGCGAAACGTGCTGTTTCGACGCCGTCGGTGCCTAGGGAGAGGGGTGTTAGTTGAGTGGGATTCATTGTGCCTGCAAAGAGGAGGTTGGGATCATGCGCGGACTCATTGCACGCAGGACATACATACATATGTTCATATGTATATTTGGTATTTCGCATCTTCTGGATGGTTAGAAGTTTACCCGGCTACAATATTCAGAACGAATTTACGCAAGAGTCACTTAAGATTCGCGAGGTAACTCAAGCAATGGTGGAGGTTCAGCTTTTGCACGACTGAGGCTAAAACATCAACAATTTTGTGATTGGCACAAAGCGCCTTTTTTCAATGTACCACAACGGACCGGCGTTCTAAGCTGTGCAAGTGAGTTTTCTGTTAGGATCGACCTTTAAACCTAACCTAACCTAACAATAAATATTTGGATACAAGTAAACCGCGTTCTAACCATTCAAATAGCTTCTATCTTGCCTATAAATGGTTCGAACAGGTTTTAACTGAATTGGGTATTACGTTACTCTAATATGCATTATTGGAAAAAGAAAATAATCTGAACAAAAAACTTACTTTACTTACGACCAAATTCCTAATTTGGTTGCGGTCTTCAAAATTTTTTCCAACATAACATTTTTTGAATATTATCTAAATTGTTTGCCATTGAGGTTTTGCCAACTTATTATATTTATTTTATTAATTTCTTCATTTCTACATTCCGCCACCATCCGTATCCGTATTTAATTTAATATTTTTGCTTATGTACTTACATTTTTATCAGTAGCATCGCTGTTGACCACATCGCTATCGGCTGTTTTCGCACTCTCATGCTCCGCGGCTACTGCCTGCTCTAAGCTGAGTAGTGTGCCACTATTCATGTTGCTGGGTGTTGTGCTGGTGACTTCCTCTTTCGGCAGTTGTACTGTAGTCGTTAGCAGCATATTTGAAGTTGGTGTAATTGCTGTTGTTGTTATAGTATCAACAATTGGCATTTCGCATGAGTCACCTCTAGATGACGTTATAAGCAAATCCTCATCTATATCGTCGATATCTTGCTTTATTAAATCCAATTCGACCATAACTAAGTCTGCAGCATCCGCGCTAATGGTAGCTGCCACTAATGATGCTTCCAAATTATCATTTGCTGACTGTGCTGTCATAACACCATCAAGCTGCACATCGGTTGTGTACGGCACAACTTGTTGGCATGTACGTTTTGTGTCAATAACGCCATCATGAAAGCTGTCATCGGATTGACCTTGTGCGAGTGTGCCAATGCTGGCATTACTGCTGCTATTGTAGTTACTGCAGTTGCTATTGCTAGTGCTGGTGTTGCTGCGTCTTTTCCTGTGCGCACCATCAACGCCAGCGCCTGCAGCAATTGAAGTTTCACTTTCATGCAAAGATACTTTATCTTCTATAGCGATTGCTTCCTCTTTACTCACAGCCGATACACATTGTATGTGCTCTGTTAGCGCAGCGCCACTTGTTTGGCTCTCAGTTGCTTGTGGCACATCCTCATCATCGGCCAACAAAGCTTTCATTTGTTCTTCCATAAAATCGGTTGTAGATGCACGATCTTCTTGATCCTGTGCCGTCAATTTTACTTTATTTTCTGTTTTGTCCAGCTTCTCCAACTTGTTGTCACCACTGCCCTTGGCTAGTTGCTCGAGTTTTATATGCTTGGTGTTGTTATTGTTGTTGCTACTATTGGTACTGCCGTTTTGGCTTTGTTTGCACTCCTGTTGAGTGCTGTTGGCCGACGTCGTTGACGCCTGCTGCTGCTGCTGCTTATGTGTTTGTGCTTTTCTGTCCTTATCTTTGCATGCGAATCGATTATTCACCATAGTGCGCCATTTCAGCGTTTTGTCTTCGGCCAAATCGTGATTGAGCAGCGAACCACCTTCAGCGGTGCTCGTAGCGCATTCAGCATCAAAAGTACTGGACATAGAGCTCAGCAGTGACTCCATACAATCGGCGGTAGTCATGTTATTAATTGGTATTAGTGCGGAAAACCAATGCCACTCTACAATCTTAAATTGTAGTTATATTTTTTTATTATGTACGAAATATTTACATGTACATATAGCTAATTTTATTTTCTATTCGACGTATGTGCATACATATGTACATAAATGCTTGTGATATTTTGTATGTTTATATAGCAATCGCACGTTAGCAATGTATTGTAATTTCTTGTTATTTTTTTCTTAATTAGTCACCACGGATTTGTTCAAAACACACATATTGAGTAGTCAACTTCAATAATTGATATTCGTTTATCACCTTTGTTATAGACAAACTGCACAAATTGTCCGATTTTTTAACATAAAAATTGTGTTCACAGCTGTTTACGCCCAACGCCCCCTCGTACACGTCGCCAGTTCTGCTTACCGAGAAGAGTGCGTTGTCTTACTTCATCGCAAAACGAGCATCGTGTTAACACACTTTTAAATACTTTACACCAAATATTTAATATTTCAAAATATTTTTATGCAATTTTATTATGTGAGATATATTGTCAATTTTTTACGCTCAATCAATTTACATATATTCACAGCTCCACAAATCTCTATACATCGGTAATACACTTATAGCTGCTCTTGAACGTAATAATGCTTTGCTTCTTAGCACTGCTGTTTTTTCTTGCATTACTTTATCTACACTTTTGCTTTTTCTGCTTCTTCTTCAGCTATTAGTTAAATACTTATGTATTGGCTCACATGTTTGCTGTTTTTTGTATAATTAAAAAAAATTTATTTGCACTTTTAATTTCAATTTTCGAACATTTTCAATATTTTAGTAATACAATAATTTTGATCAATATGTATGAAGTACATATTCACGCTCGGTATACATACGTTCGATTTACTTGCGCCAACGCTGCTTTCTTACTTCATTTTCACCTCACTGCCCCGCTCATTCCCAAGACCATACATCATCCATAGCACGTTCGCACGTCTCAATTTCATTGTAAATTTTATTTTTTCTTTTACACTAAAATTCACTTCATCGTCATACGTTTAATTTCATAATATTAGCACTTGATTTTATTTAAATTGTACAATTTTTAAATTACAAACATTATGTTTTTTGTCTTTACACAAATCTTACTGAAATTCTTCAGCTGCTTTGCTCCCGTCTTGTTGGAACGAACTCTTCTGTTGGCATACTCAATGCCGTCGTATAGCCAATAGACTCACATCAGCAACGTAGCCGTCACTGGCATCGCTGCCTCAGCTCTCGCTTGTCGCTCGCTTGCTTCCCATTCAATGAGGAACTGCTATTCGCCTGACAGCGCTGCCGGCAGGCTATACTCTGCCACTATGTGACGCCCCTGTTTAATTTGTTGTTGATATTATTAAACATACGCTCTTTAATCATTCAATTTAATTGACCAAAGTTCTCTTCCATTCGCGCGTAGTAGTTCCAAAAGTATGACTTTTGTTTACCCCCTCTCCAATAGGTACCCAACAACACAAACAACTCAATGTAATTAGCCCCTTGATGTTTGCTTTGCTATTGTTTTTGTACCGTGTGTCGTTTGTAGGGTGTCTTCTGTCGTGTTGTTATTGCTATTCAAAATTGCTGGTGTTTGTGCAATTAGCGGTTTCATTTGCATTCTCACATATACCCACGCTCTTTTTGCACTTCCCTAAACTCGTTTACTCTCGCTCTTTGTTTGCGGCTACCATACAGACGTTTTTCTTTTGTTACTACTTCTCAGCTGCTGATGTTGCTGCACCCCCTTTTTTAATGAACTTTGTTTGCTGTTAATTTTTCGTTTGTTTTTCACGATATTCCTTGCTTGCGGAAATCAGCGCGGTTTTCCAATTTGATATGTTCGCACTTTCAATGATTTAATTTCACTTTTCAAGAGCTATTTTCATGTTTTCCTACAGCAACTGTTTTCAATTCTCTCGATAATGACTTTTCCTTGCGTTTGTGCTTTCTGAACACACCCGTTCGGGAAAATTGAAATACAGAGTTGCCTCAAAAAAACATGATTTGACAGATGTGCGATAATTTAAATTCAATGATATATTCGTTATAACTTAATAAAAGTATTATTTATGCATTTATTTATAATGCGTTGAGATTTGCATTTTAATAATTAACAGTAACAAGTTTGTGTATAAATTCTAGTGATGGAGAGAGAGTGGAAAGTGCTACTATTTATATATATATTTCAAATGCAAATAAAATTCTCAAACTAAGACGGAAACGGAAATATAGCCTTGGATTATTTTATTTAATAGCACATAATTTTTTTATAACCACATCATTTTAATTCCGAATTGTTTTAAATGTTAATTATTATCGTCATTGGATTTAACTCTGGTTTAGAAACGTTGGATTTGCTAAATGCCGTCTTAAAAAATTGATAATACACCGGTCTTACACAAAATAAACAGTTAAATGCAAAAATCAATTTAATATATATTATAAATAAATTATACAAATATATTTTCTATAATAATTTTCTTCATAATGTACATGAATCGTTTGTATCATAACTATAAAAAATGTGTAGTACAACTGACTAATTCTTCGTCATCAGAAACACCCAGTACGCTGCTGCACAACACACTGTTCACGGTGAATTATGACAACCATGGTGAGTATATTGCATGGTGTCATTTGATGTTTTTAATATTTTGTTTTTGTTGCTTTGCAGAGCTGAAAAGAAAAGGTTATAGTGATTTTGCGCTCCGTCGCGGTTCAGTGAAATTATAAATTTTGTAAAGGAAAATCCGAAACCAAATTCTTATAAGGTGTGTGCATAGCACTGAAAACGTGTTAAAGGGCATTGCCAAAATTCGTTCAAGTGCGCGGAATTGTTTTAAAGGTTCAAAATAGAAAATTTATGCATACCACCCCCAGTGAAAAATTGTGAAAAAACACAGCCACACAAACAGGCTTTAACAAGCGTGAAAAGCTTTTTGCAGTGTAGAAAGGCAATAAGAGCAAATTCAGTGGGAATAAATAATTGTAAAGCAATTAAACATTGTGTAGTTAAACACCGAAAAAAATCAGGCATTCCATTTTGTCGCATAACTTTATTTATTAAGTACCTGCAGTAAAAGCGTCAAGACGCCGCCAACAGCGCCAGCTTCACCCCCCGCGGAGCATACGTGCGTGATGCGTGACCTCGGCACCAAAATGGCCGAGCTGAAATTCGAGGCTCCATTAGCAAAATTCGAGGAGACTGATGAATGGGGCGGTTGTGACTTCATTACTAATCAAAATACGATTAATGATACATTGAATTTGAATCTGAAAGATTCGTCGTTGAAGCAGGAAAACAAGATGCGCCTACTTGAAGAGGCTGTGCGTGATGCACACTTAAGCAGGAATGGCGTGCTCATGACGAACGTCACTAATGCTGATAAAGCTGACAGCGGTGCAATAAGTCCCAATTGTAATTCTTTATTGGCCGCTGAGCTGGGATTGGATGTGGGTTCGGCGCCCGGTGATGACGGTTGCGATAAGCGTTCCACCGTAGGTGATACCGTTGATAATTTTGCTGAGACATTCGGCGGTAGTCTTGAGGATTTAGTTAATACATTTGATGAAAAAATAACCAAATGTTTTGGAAATTTTGAAGAGAATGTTGAGGATTTGGCACCGGTGCAAGTGCGCAGTCAAGAGGAGATCATGAATGAATGCCAGTGAGTAAAAAATATTTTAAACATTAAAATACAGAATAAGTGGGTGACTCATAGTGTTCAATCCATTTTAATTATCCATGCTAATAGCCGGCGCATATTAAGTCGATTATGCGACTTTGTAACTTGTCAAATTGGTGTATTGCACAGCTTATTTGTTGTGCTATTATTTTATTACATTATTTGCAACTATTATGATGTTATGGTCAAACGTGCGGTGCTTTATGTATTAAAAGTTATATTTTTTTTAATAAATCATGCGGCATGTTTTCCATGTATGCACTACTCTTGACACTTATGCTAGCGCCTGCGCATTGAAACTGCACTACCCGCAAGCATTAAGCTGGTATTGTTTGTAAAATACGCTTGAATTTTCCTTCAAACAAAAAAAAAAAAACAGCGCACACCCACTAATTCTCTGCTGTTACTCCTGACGAGCCGCTAAGAATATATGTATATATTTACATTTATATGATTCTACATATATATACATATATCATATGTGTATGTACCATATAAATACGCAGGCCTTACAGGTCATACATTTGTCACCATTTGCATCGCCAGAAACTCCAATAAGCTATATTCTGCCTTTGTCAAGTCTTGACGCTCGTATGTCCTGCCAAGCGTATGGTAACCGGGGAGAATGTATGACAACAGCTAAACACTAGCATACAAGTTATTTAGTACAAAAAGGAGGTGGTGGATTTTTATTTTGCTCAGCGCTATATTGGATCGATAGTCATAAAGTAGGTGTAGGGTTGGTGGTGGCACGAAATGATTTTATTCTGGCTGGTGAAAGCGCTACAGTTGGTAATATGAAATGTGTGCATGTGTGACATTTGGGGTGCCTTTAATAAATACATAAATACACAAATATTTTGGTTTGCGAAATTCATGTTAAATGTGCAATTTCTCTGATGAAATGTAAAAATATTATTTTAGTAAACTTATTAATGCTATAGCAAATAAATTTGGCATGTTGTTGTTTGTTTATTTAACTAGTTTTATTGGACAAATATTCAAACAATCGATAACCCCCTGTTGCTAGGGACAACATTTATTGTTAGAGTAAACAAATTTAATCCGCTATTTGTTTGAAAAAAGCCAAAAGAATGCGCTTCAAATGTTCAAATATGTGGAATTTCTTTAAAATGTATACAAAAAATATACGCATTTAAATATAGTTCAAGAAAATGACGACCTGTTATTGGTTTCTCAGCACTTTAAAATTATTGCAATCAAATATCATTATTACACACAGTTGCTAGCGAGAATAGCGCTTGTGTAGCTGCCCATACTCTTGCATGCACTGTGCAAATGTAGAAATTAATTTTATTTATTGTTCACATCACTTTATAAACAATTCCATCTATTGTACTTAGGTTTGTATATAGTAGTAAACACAAAAAAAATTAGTTCAATTCAATTATGACCTATATACAGTGCCTGTGCATACATGCTGATAAGGAAGGCAATAATGACAGTTCAAGCAAATGTTTTTATGTGCAAGGCTACTTTAAATTGATTATTTGCTTTTTTTCTTGTTGTTTTTGTTTTTTATATTCCATAATTTACAAAAAAATCGCTAAAATTTCTGTTTATGTTCTGCAATAATATTTTAAAGAAAAGTAGTGATTGATTGTTCTATATATTATCGATTATTAGCGATTATTCTGTTAAATCGCAACAATATTTTGCTGATGTAAACAAAATGCAATCTTATCTCATTGACAGCGATATTTATAGCGACAAAATAAAATATATATATTTTGCACGTAATTGGCCAATATTTTCATTTAATTACAATTATTTTGATCATTGTTTTATAATAATAATGTTTGCATATATTAAAAATATTTTTTCCGTGTATAAATTGTTATTTAGTCACTTTCATTTGTACTACCATATTGGCATCTATGTATTTATTCTCTGTATTTCTCTAAAATACGCTGTCACTACCATATATGTCAGAGCTGCACAAGTATTCTTATCAATTTAAGCATACTTACGCGTATGCTTGACAAATTTATACAATTTGCCTATGCAACAACGTAAAGTCACAAACAACACTTGACTTCAGACGGATGTGGAGTAGTTGTGTTATTATTTTTTATTTGATAATTTTATCAGAGTTTACCCCAGTTGCGTTGATCTTGTTTCAACAGACAAATATTACAAAAGTGGCTAGGCGCGACATAATTGCGGAAATAATAATTTTCTTAATGTCACTGCCGTATAAACGTAGTTGAAATGGAAAAATTTGCTTTGAAAACCAAGCAAATAAGTAGATAGTTTTACACTTGAGATTTTTAGCATCAATGTGACCCCTGAAGGCTTATTTTAGTGCGTGATTTTCCAATTGTATGCTGTTTATAATTTTTAACGTAAAATTTCTTGTTTCACAAAAAATGTATTCCTATATCCGGCCCGAATTCTGATCACTCAAAATTAAGCAAAATTTTGATTTTCTATTCCTATTTTATAATACATAGTGTTTGAAGTGATTTGTGACAATTTATAACGATTCAACGTTAAAGCTGTGCCAATCTCAGAAAAAAAATAACATTTTATTTAAGGTTTACCTACTTAAATTTCAAGTGTTGAAATGTATGATGTGTTGAAGTGAGAAAGCGCCCTTTTTTGTTTTTTTTTCTTTATTATTATTAACCTAAATACGAGTTTACACTACCTGTTATTTTTTACTTCATTGTTTTGTGTTTTTGTTTCAAATTGCTTATGTTCCTAAATAACCTTACAGACTCGGCGGCAGTTTTATCTGTTTATCTTTTACTAATGAGATAGGCACGCACAGACACATGTCTGTATGTTTGTATTGCTTATTGTTTTTATTGATTATTTGCTTCTATCAATTTCTGCTATATCTATCTGTACAGCAAACATAAATGTTGAAATTCTCAATGCTCGCTCGTGATGAAGAATGTTTACTTATAGCAAACCTTTTTGTCGCACTTAGAAATGATTTAAAAACAACTCTGGTACCTACCTGAGTTTTTATACCCTGATCAGCGTATATTAAGTTTGCCACGAAGTTTGTAACACCCAGAAGAAAATAAGAAAGGAGACTCAATAAAATCATCGTCTCGCACGTCTTTTTCTCCGCAAGTAGCTGTTCATTTGTCGGAATCGCCAATATCGGACAACTAACATATAAAATAACCGATCAAAATCAAATCCTTTTATGTAAAACTTTTTTATTTCACAAGATATCTTCACGAAATTTGGCATAGATAATTATCCAAGGCAGCACTACAATCTCCAAACAAATTGTTCCGATCGGACTACTATATAATTTAGCTGCCGTGCAAATTGAACAATTAAAATTAAGTTTTTGTATGGAAAACTTTTTTATTTGTGAAGGGTATTATAATTTTTATTTATTGTAATTTTTTGTACACAATTTTTAATAGTAAGAATTTAAACGTCATTCAAGTTATACTTACTTGTACCTTATGCCAAGCCTAAAAACAAACAGCTTCTAATTAAAAAGGCAGCAAATTGCGAATACCACCAATACCTTCACAAGCACTTATACATTATTTATGTGTGTGCATATGGATATGCAAAAATAAAAAGTGACGCTTGAACTTTCTTCACGTTTTACGCAGTTAAGAACAAGTTTATTTTTATTGCGTCTTATTTTTTCGCTTTACCTTGCTAGCTTGTTCGTTCCTTGTGCCTTTTTTTGGTTTGTCCATTCAACGTTCTCCTGTGACCCATGCGATGCTGGGGCATTTAAATGGAGTACGTGCAAAGTTTACAATGCAGCAAACTGCTGGTCGATAATGCGGTTTTGTGGCAGGAGCACATTTAATTTTTTTTTATTGCTTTTGAAGCAGAAAGTTGTTTACCAGCTCAGCGTCCTCCTTTACATACATTGCTTAAAAAGTTGTATCCTCTTAATATGTTTTCTTTTTTATTTATTTATATTATATATGTATAATTACCACCAACACCTTACTACTCAAAGTAACTGCCGTTGTCAGCGCATTAATCTAATTACATCATTTACAGCTATTAATCTATGTTATGCACGTTGATTGCCTACCTAATTTGCTTGATAGTCGTTGCTCAATCTCCACTGCAACCCATTTGCGCATATATCAATCTCAAGTGCTCAACATGCAAGCATTTCCATTCCGAATGCAAGGCAGCAGCGTTGCTGTCAAACGCGTTGACACTTCTCATGCACACATCGCTAATAAAAATAAAATGTATTTATTTGTTATGAAAATATTAAAGCCGCACAATGTTTTCAAATAAAATAAACAAAGGACAAAAATAAAACAAAATAAATGCCGTGAGTTGAAATGCAATGAGAACGTAAGTATGCGGAGTGGTAGTTTGACACGTCGAAAAATACTTACACACAATTATGTCACCTGAAAATGCATGTAATATATACATATATATAAGATAGATATACATATAACTATTTCCACATTGGTATAAAATCACACCAGCTGTGGGCGTTTTATAGAGCCGGCACTTGATAAATGACTACTGGTATTTACTTTGCATTCTGCATACCAATAAGGTAAGGTAGATAGCAGCACAGCGGTGTGGCGTAATAAAAGAAATAAAAAGAAAAATAACTATCAAAAGTGTCGAGTGAAGAGCTAGGGAAGAGGCTTAGCTCATTAAATAAGGTTCAAGCAAGTAATTTTCTATTTAATGCAGAAATAATAGTTAAGTAATTAAAAGATAATCGTTTTTTTTAACTATATTCGTGCATTTTTTTAACCTGTACGTTTATTTAACGAAAACATGTACAATAGTATTATTCAAAGTATTGCACATCTGAAGCTACAATATTTAGCCAACTCTCTGACAATTTATGATTTCCATCGCAAAATAACTGCGACAATTTTTGATACACCGTTCTAATGGGAACCGTATTTTAGTGTGGTGTTCAGCGTCAACCGAAACAAATGGTAGTCAGAAGAGGCAAGGTCTGGACCATGAGGTAGGTGTGGCAAAAC